GGATGAGAGGGCCCACCAGAGACAGAGTGGGAAACAGAACAGGCAGACTGACAAAATACACTGCTGAGGGGAGCAGCGGGCAAGAGAGGAGAGGTCTGCTGAGCCATGTGGGTCCCTCTCTGGACAGCCAGGGATCGAACTCTTGCTGCAGAGGCTGTGGATTGCTTCATAGTGCGGTGCTTAACCCCTTGCACCACCAGGGAGGCCCAGACATATATTCTTCAAAAACATGAATATAATAATTAGAATTTTGAAAAGATTGATGAGAGAGGGAATAACTAGTAAATAGGAATGAAAATGAAAAAATAGGGGCTCACCAGTGGCACAGCAGGTTGAGGGCAGTGCTGTGAAGCTATCCACAGCCTCTGCAATGTGGGCTCCATCCCGGCCGGCCAGGAAGATTCCCACATGGTGAGCAGACCTCTCCTGCCATGCCCGCGCCTCCCCTCAGCAGTGTATTTCAGTCAGTCTGCCTGTTCTGTTTCCCACTCTGTCTCTGGTGGACCCTCTCACCCCTGACATCTCTAACCTGTACCCCAGCTCTTGTATGAATAAATAAATCTTTAATAAAAAAGGAAAATGAAAAAATATAAATATTGAAACAAAGCCAAAAATGAAAAAATACTTTGAACAATTTTCCAGTAAGTTAGAAGTAAAATGAAACAAACCATTTTCTATATAAATAGATTAGCAGAACTGTTTCGAAGGGAAAGAAAAATCAGAGATCCCTGCCTATGATCTCAATGTTTGTGTCCCTCTAAAATTTATACATTGAAATCCTACACCTTAATCTGTGTTTTCTGTTTTCTTCCATTTTTTTTTAGTAGGTGGGGCCTTTCGGAATGCTTCAGCCATGAAATTGGTATCCTCATGAGTGGGATTTGTACACCTGCGAAAGAGGTACCAGTGATTTCTATGGCCCCTTCACTATGTGAGGACATAGAAGACACAGGCTATGAACCAGGAAGAGGAATTTCATAAGAATGCAACCATACTGTTGCCTTGAACTTAAACTTTCCATTGTCCTGAATGGGGTGCAATACATCTCTGTTGTTTATAAGCTACCTAATATTTGGAACTTTGTTATAGGAACCCAAATGTCTACGACCTCCCCAGACTTGAAAATATTAAAGATAAATATTCAGAATACAAAAATGTGCCCATGGGATCAGGGGAAAGGTGATAAAATAGTTTTACAAATGGGATCTACCAACTGGTGATGGAACAGATTTCTGTCATGTAGGAATTATAACTAATTAGGGTAATTTAACCTTCACATGTTTTCTCTATATTCCACATGTGACACCATCTGGTATTTGTCTTTCTCCTTCTCACTTATTTTGCTTAGCATAATCCCCTCCAGCACCATCCTTGTTACCACAAATGGCAAAAGTTTATTGTTTATGATAACTGAGTACTATTCCATTGTGAGTATATACATATTATCTACTCATCTCTGTTTACTTAGGTTGTTTCCTTCGTTTGGCTATTGTAAATAGTTATGCAATGAACATGGGAGTGCATGTTTCCCTTTGAATTAGTGTTTTTACATTCTTTGGATAGATACCTAGGAGTGGAATTGCTGGGGCTGTCTGTATGGCAGATCCGTTTTTGATCTTTTGAGAAACCTCCATATTGCTTACCATAGGGGCTGCACAGTCTACATTCCCAACAGTATGTAAAAGGGTTCCTTTTTCTCCATTCCCTCCCAAACACTTGTGTCTAGTCTTTTCAAAATGGCCCATTCTTACATGTGTGGGTGGCATTTCATTGTGGTTTGACTTGCATTTCCCTGATGATAAGTGATGATGAACATTTTTTCATGTGTGTGTTGGCAATCTGTGTGTCTTCTTTGGAGAAGTGTCTTATTTCGGTCTTCTGTCCATTTTTTTTTATTGGGCTATTTGCTTTCGTTTTGTCAAATTGTACAAGTGTCTTTGAAATCAGTCCAGAGGTACACCATAAAAAGTGTTTCAATTTTTTTCTTTGTATCTCTTTCTTCTTCCACCTGGATACTTTTTGTATCATCATCTTCAAGTGGTCATGGATTTAATGTAACGTTTGGTTTATTCTACTTCATAGCTTTCTCCAGATTTTTTTTTTTTTAAACCTTTATTATCTTTTTATATCCTGCATCTCTTTTTATATCCTGCATCCTGCATTTATATCCATTATTTTCTTAGGGCTTCAATTCTGACCTTCATTTGTTAGTTTTATTTTTCAGGACATTCATTTGTTTTTCTTGGGTTTTCTAGTATATCTTTGATTAGTTTTTCTGTGTTTTCTGTTTTCTTCCATTTTTGAATTTATTATACAATTTTAAAATTTTTACATGTACAGATATTCCATGTCTTTGTGATTGGGGTCTGGAGAATAGTTCTCTGTGGTCTAGTATCCCCCAAGGGCTCAAGTTGGTGTTTGTTGTGATTTTTGTGTCCCCATAATTTGCTTTCTAAAAATTAAGTATGCTGAGCTTCTGCCTTCCCAGCCAATGGCGCTGTATGGCAGGGACAGCTAATCTATAGCTGGATCTTCAATGAATGGGGGGATGTCCTCCTGTCTGTTGGGGATCTGGCATTGTGGGTTCACTCTCAGGTCCTTTTCCAGAATTTTTCAAGGCCCCATTGAGGTCTGCTGGATATTTCTTGGGGAGGGTCTGCCCCTGAGCTCATTCAGGGAGTTTACTGGGGCCAGCACTGATGTTGACAGCTTCAGGGTTTCCACTTATAAAACCTCTGTTCAATATAGTATGAAGCTCATCAGTGACCGATCTATTGAAATCTGTACTGCTATCAATAGGCCTGTCTCTCAGACCTGTGTCCCTCTGGTTTGCTGTTCCAAGAGCTGAAACAAGTGGGAGACAGTCTCTGTGTTTGTTCACTGGCTGCCATAGCTAGAGGATGGAGGCTAGAAGTGGTGGGGTACTCCCAGCTGGAGGTGAGGCTTTTGCAGCTGGTAGCTGGAGGTTAGGAGGAGCCAAGTTTAGCTCCTGAAGCTGATGGCTGGTGGCTGGCAGTTGGGCTCTCACAGCTGGCAACAGGGAGTGGGGGGGAAGAAGCATGACTCTTGTTCACAAAGCTGAGCTGAGGCTGAGCTCCTGTTGCTGGTAACTAGAGGCTGGGAGCTGCCCAGTTCTTGCTCACACAGCTGGTGGCTGCAGGCCGGGCTCCTGTGCAGACAATAGACACCAGAGGGCAAGGTGGTTTGGCTCTCACAGCCAGAGGCTGGACTCCTGGGCCACTATTGCATGTAAGGGGTGGTCAGGCTCTTGCTGCCAGGGACTAGGGGTTAAGCGTTCTCGGTTGGCTACACAGCTGTCAGCTGACTACAGTCTCCCAAGGCTGGTAGTTGGCAGCTGGGAGTGGCCAGGCTCCCTGGATGGCTGGCACCTGGGCTAGGGCTCCCCCCTCCTATGGATATTTGCTCCCAGTGCACACTGCAATCATCTGTCTTAACTTTAGGAGTAAATATTGGCTTTGTTTTGCTGCACTGAAGCTGAGAGTACAAGGAGGAGGCGACCCTGCATCCTTTGCTGCCATCTTGCCCCACGTGACTTTTGAACCCGTGTCATGTTTCCCTTGAAAGCCTGCTTAGTTCAGGAAACCCTGCCTTTGGTTTCCTTTGTCACTTCCTAACTGGTTGAAGGAGAGTGCCCCTTCTCACATTGTAGTATGCAGAATTTCCTCCTCATCAAAGGTTTAGAATAATAAATGGAAGATTTTAAAATATGATCAGCATATGTTAAAAACCACACTTAACATATGGAAGGTAAGAAAGAAAACCTAGATGTGATGTAATGATTTCTGTGATTTTTTTTTTTCTACACAGCACAAGAATGTTGCTATCCTGACATGCCCTATGATGTTTCTCATATCACTGAAATACTACTTGCTCAGAAAGTGGGAAATAGCATAACAAATACCTGAATGATTTTTACTAAAAATTTCAGCAGACTTTCCTTGAGACATGTTTGAAGAGCAACTGCAGAGCACAAAAAACTCTTTTCTCAGCATGTTCCAAATGAGAGGAAATTGAATTGTAATGAATCTACACAGGCTGCCGTGGCAAACATTACAATGAAAACACTGCCTTCCCTGCTCTAATCACCTGGGGCTGAGATGGCTAATTAGAAAATCCAAAATCAGAACATAAACCCTTCGAATGGGAGAAAGCACATTGCCAGCTCATTTTCAGATTTGCGTACCAGTGCCCAGTTGCTACAAATGGACAAAATGTGCAGCAGCATGAAAATGATTTGTTCCTCCTAACATAGCCAAGCTTGCACAAAGTATATATGGGTTTTACTGCCTTCCTAGGTACTAAGTTATCGCTTTCATTATTTAATGTTTTCCAATCAGAAGTAAAGGTATTGTCCCCTCTAGAATGTGCTCCCCACTCTGCCGCTACTGTACTCTCCCTAGAATTTCAATCATTCGCATAATTAACAGTTGACTCCTGTGCCATTATTTTCTTTTCTATTCTGCTCAAATCTAAGTAGATTCTATTTCTAAGTGTATTCCTATCCCAGGCACTAAGAGTTAGGAAGCACACACATGATCTGAAGTCACAATGGGAAAAAAAAATATTTACAAAACATACAACAAGGACTTGTATATAGAATATATTAAGAATGCTTACAACTCAATAACAAGAAAGCACTCTGCTTTATAAAAGGGCCAAAGATTTAAACAGACACACTATTAAGGTCAATTCACCACTGGTGAGTAAGCGCAAGAAAATATGTTCAACATTATTAGGCACCAGACAAATGCAAATTAAAGTCACAATAACATATCAATATACACTAAAATTGTAAGGATTAATGAAGTTGGTAAAGATATGGAGTACTTTTGAAAGTCTCATACAACATTGGTAGTATTATAAAATGGTATAACTGAAATTTGAGAAAAAAACTTTGGCACTTTCTTAAAAGTTTGAGACAGCACATTCAAAAGCATGATCATCTAACAAATCTATATCTCTACATTAGACTGAGACATACAGGATTTTAAAAATGCAAATATATAGTCATATGACCCAGCAGTTACACTTCTAGTTATTTGAGAGAAATGAAAAACGACGCCCACAAAAAGACACATGAGAGTTCTGGGGAAGGGGACAACAGCAAGCTTCTGAGCGGCTCGCCTTTCTAAGAGCTGAATGCTTGGCGAGGGAGGAGGGCAGCAACCTCAGGTCTGCTCAGCTTGCCTCTCTGGGAGTGCAATCACTGCCTCTCTACCAGGGCCCCAATCTTACTGTGTTGCACCCAAGGTGGAACCTCCCTTCTTTGAGGGGGGACCTGGCAAAGAGGGGCCTTTAGCCAGAAAGTAAACACATTTTGCATATCCAATCACTCAGTCATCTGTCTTGAGATCTGCTGAACTGACAACCCTAGGTGAAGAAAATTCACAACAAAACCAAAGTAGGAGGAGACCAAGAATCTGCGACTGGTTGGGATTTTTTCCCTTTTTAATCTATTAGCCACAATATTGCAGACCAAACTGTTCATGTGCCCAAAGGAGGTGAAAGCGGGAGAAAGAGGTGTCTGCAGCTATCAAATGAAGCAGCCCCAGCTAGTTCAGACGTTCTATGGCAAAGAAGGTAGACCATAGTGGAAGTGATATAGGGCAGCAAGTGGCACTAAAACTGGCCAAGGACACTGCCTGAACAGTTTACCGGTCACTGTCCATGTTCTTCACCCACATGCACAATTGCAAGACTACTCAGGTTCAGGGAACGACAATGGGATTTATTTAACAAACCAGGGAAAAGAGTTACGGAGGCCAAAAATGGTCTTTACCTCACCCAAAGCAGTGTCCAGTGTTTTCCAGTCCTAAACAAAAGCTGGATGATGGCATCTTCCCGCCACTGAGGATGCAGAGCTCCTCTTCAGAATAGGCCATGTGCCCCAGATGGCATCTTCCTGTCTCTGCCAACCTGGAGTACGCAGTAGCCAGACTCTAGGCCAGGTTCCAACTAAAAAAGACAACAGAAGACGCAAGAGGAGATGCTCTTGGAGCTGCCAGGATGCTCCAGCACAGCACCAGACAAGTGATACTCAAGACAGCAGCTGCAGTGGCCTAAGTACCTGACAAACAGCCCCACTCACACAGTTCAGCAAGGCGCCCGCCTCTGGGTCTTCGCCTTCTCTGCCAGGCTGTCACTACAGCAAAACAGAACAGTTTCAGTTGCTTGTCTAACTATGAAGCCTCCAAAATTTTCCTCTCTGAGGTTAGCTGCTGAAAGCCTCCACTTTCAGAGGCCTGCAACAGCCTTCTGAGAGATGAGAGCGGTTGGGACCAAAATCTGACCCCTCCTGCTTAATCCACCCCCAAATGCTGAACCCACGCCCTCTTCTGAATTTATATTTTTTTATCAGTTGCTCCACACCACTTTTTAGCATTTCCCTGGGGCTATCTATTCTCATGAGCAACCCTCCCCCCCAGGGGGCACCACCCATAACAGTCTTTTGGCTTTAGCTACCAGTTACAGAAGTAGTGGCAACGCCTTTGCATATTGAAGTAGAGTATTCTGGAGTGAAAACTCCTCTCTCACCTCTCTCATACTCTGTAAAATTCAGGTAAAACTTAAGAGCCCATAAGTGATAATCAAAACCTAATTATCTTACCTTGGATAATTCTGTTCTCTTTATAGACTGGATGTAGGGTAAGGTAAAAAGCATCAGGCTTTTCTGCCCTCCCGCCATCAGGATAGATGACGGAACTCTGCGGTCCTGAGTGCATGCCTGATGGCGGGCACCTGGAGTAGGGTGTGGGCATAGGTAGATGGGATTCACCTGGGCTGAGACTGGGCTTTTAGAGGCGGGGTCGCAGGGAGGCCAGCAGAAACCAGGAGAGAGAGAGCAGAGAAGCAGAGACCATCAAAGAACGCTTGAGAGCCCAGAAAGAGTGAAGACTTGCTGGCGGCTGGGAGGCCTGCCAGCTTCCCGGCACCCCCAGCACCCCTGCCTGCCGTGTACCCAGTAAATCCCAATAAAAGCCTGCAAAAGCCACTGAGGGCTCCAGGACTCCTTCTTTTACCCGGTCTGCTGGATCAGAAAACCTGCACTGTGTCCTTCCTGTCCCTACACTGGAGTACGCAGAATGTTCCCCCGAAGATGTCGACACCCTAAAAATGCCTGCCACCATTGAACATGTTTTATTAAGTGGCAAAGGATCTTTGCATACTGTAAGGTTACTGACTTTCAAATTGGGAGATTTTTTCTAGATTATCTGAATGGGCACAATTATGTGAGCCCTAAAAAGGAGTGAGTTTTCTTCAGCTGGGACAAGAAAGTTGCAGCACAAAGGCAATTCAGAGATCTGAAGCATGAGAGGGGTGGATCCACCAGTGCTCTAGGGACCACATCCATCCCAGGCGGAGGAATGTGAGCAGCTTCTACAAGCAAGGATGCCCAGGCTACCCACTGGCAAGGAAATGGGTAATTGTCTTACAATTACAAGGAACAATTCTGTCAACAACCTAAATGAGCCTGGAAGCACAATCTTCCCCCAGAATCTCCAGATAAGAGCCCAGCCCAGCTGATCGCCTGATTTCAGCCTTGCAAGGCCTTCAGTTAAAGACCCAGTGGCCCCTGCTGTACCCAGCTTTCTGAATTATGGAACTGTGAGATATACCTTGGTGTTGTTTTGAGCCACTATGTTTGTGGCAATTTGTTCTAGATGCAGTAGAAAACTAATTAATAAACACCTTTTTAAAAAAGCAAGCAAACAGAATTTTCAAACAAAAATGACTTTGAGTGTAACTCCTTTAACTCCCTTTCCTCGTTGCAAATATGTGATGTAAGAGTCTTGATTTCTTTTCTCAAGAACAACAGTGTAGGGTAAGGTAAAAAGTATCAGGTTTTTCTGCCCTCCCACCGTTAGGATAGATGATTATCTATGGTCCTGAATGCATGCCTGATGGCGGGCACCTGGAATAGGGTGTGGGCATATGTAGATGGGATTCACCTGGGCTAAGATTGGGCTTTTAGGGTGGCGTCACGGGGTCGCCAGCAGAAGCCGAGGAAGAAGCAGAAGCAGAACCATGAGAGAAGCAGAACGCGAGAGAAGGCTGGAGAGCCCAGATAGAGTGAAGACTTGCTGGGGGCTGGAAGGCCTGCCAGCCTCCTGGTCCCCCAGCACCCCTGCCTGCCATGTACCCGGTAAATCCCCATAAAAGCCTGAAAACCCACCAAGGGTTCCAGGACTCCTCCTTTACCTGGTCTGCTGAATCAGAAAACCTGCTTCATGTCCGTTCCTGTCCTCTACAAACAGAATCTATACTACCATTTGTGCCCTACAGGGTATCGGTGTACTTAATGGGGGACTGAAGCTCTACCTAGGGAATGTTCTCTTTAAGCCTTTCTCAAACACACTGGAGTGGAGAATAGATTTCTGTGAGATCATTACTGCAACAGGAATGTCAGCTGTCAGACTACTGTACTTATCCATTGGAGGGTTGATAGGACAGGGTTTGCGAGTATGAAGCAGTCCAGGAGAAATATTGCTATTTGATGATTCTACAAAGGCTGGCTTGGTGGAAGTTAGTAGCATGAATCAGAGAATCAAAGGAGGAATAGGCTTGGGGAGAAATTGATGATGGTGAAATCTTAATTTAGAACAAGTTGAGTTTGAGGAGTTTGTGGAACATTTGGGGATCTCCAGGAGGTAGATGGACATTGAAAGCTGAAGATTAGCTGATTCTCAATTAGGAACTCCAATATATATAGAGAGAGAATAACAGCCATTTTGTTTGTTTGAGGTAATTAGAACAGGATTGCAGGAAAGGAAAGAGGATAGAAAAGATGAGAAAACTGTTGGCTGAGATAGAGTTGATAAATTACTAATAAACTAACAAAAAAGGAAAATAAAAGCTGTGTCCTTTCTTAGAGGAGACAGTAGGAGGTAGTAGGGAGACAGAAACTGGAGAAAGTTCCCATCAGTCACCAGGGCTCATGGCTGGCCCAGGACAGTAGACACCTATGTGTGTTAACAATGATGCTGGTGGAAATGGCTGTGGAAGAATAAGGCACAGGAAAGATGGCTGTCCAACTGACTGCTTCCAGAGTGGAAAGGAGCTTCCTAAGTGGACGGAAGCTTCTTAAACTGTTCATTCACAGGGAAAGTGGAGGTTCCTTTCACCCCATTTTTGTGAGAACACTGTTGCTATCCTCAAAAAGAGGGACAAATCCAAGTGAGCCACCATGCATTCAATACTGTTTCCTCATGAGGAACTGACAATGACTTGATAGCGCTGTTGAATCCTCATCTGTGAAAATATCAGAAGGTTGCACACAGCAACAGGGAGAGGATTAGCTGCCTGCACACCAGCACTTAGGGGGGACTCCTGACTGAACTGCCAGCTATGGGGAAAGCAGCCAGCAAGAGCAAGTATCATTTGGGGCATGGTGTTCCTCATCTTCCCAAGTGGCTAAATGGGCACAATAAAATAAAATTTAATCCAGTGCAAAGCACCCAATAATAAATTTTAGACCATCAGAAACGCTACACTTCATTCTCTTTCCTGATGCCTCTGCTTTTGGCTAAGAATCAAATAGTTAACAACCTAGTTCTCTTCAACTCTCTAACACACCTAATCCAAAGCTGCATGCGTGAAGCGTCTCCAATATCTTTTATTGTTGTTGCCTTTCAAATTTTCCCTTAGAGTGATGCAACATTGACGCATTCAAACTCATTACTACTACAAGGATTAAAAAGTTCTTAAATATATTTTTATTGTATGTAACAATGCCATGTACACACACAAAAAAACTTTTGATCACTTAATAAGTTACAACATTCCATGTTTTAAAAGTATTAACAAGGACTAAATGATCACTTCCTGAGGTAACAGTGCAATGTAAAATTTATTCTGTATTGCTAGTAAGACATTTTACAGCATAGAAACATGATCAAAATGATCATTTACTTTATCATGTCACAAAACACAAGAGCTTATAGTAGAACAGTGATCAAGTTTAAAGGGTAAGGAACTTTGTGACTCATAGTAAAGAATCCTGTATGTATTTGTTGCATGATTGACTTTCCAGGTTAAGTATCAGTAGTAAAATAAGTTGTGGTACAAAATAAAGCTGACAAGGTATCTATTTAATGATGGACTATTTGATATCATTTAAGAAATTGAGGCCTGGAATCTAGTTATTAATCTTTTAGTATATACAAAAATGTTCTCTTAAAAAACCCTAAGCAGTCACAAGTTTAGATAAAACAGTTGAATGAAGGACAATCTTTATTATCCTGTAAAACTGTGGATTTCATCTTTGGAAAAGTTAAGATCATGCAGCAACCTGAAAAACAAACACAAAGCATGTCTCTTAGGGACAATGTGAAAAACAAAACAAAACAAAACAAATCAAAGTTTATCATCATTACTAGCAAGGTACTGTTCCATTTTCCTAAATTACTATGTTCTCAAAAATCCCATCATTATAATTTCTAAAAATGTAATAACTCTTTAATGTCACCAAATATGAAATGTCTAAATTTTTAATGCTTTCCTAAACGCCGTAATTTTTAAAAGTTTGTTTGAATCAAGAGCCAGTTAAAGTGCTCTCATCATGATTGGCTGTTGTCTTCTAAGAATCTTTTGATCTGAAAGATCCCCACACCCCCAACCCCTGTCCTGCAATTTATTTGCTGACAAAACCAGATTTTTATGTGCTCTGTCTCCCAGAGACATCAATTTGCTGTGTCCTGTGGTATGCTATAACAATATGTGTTTATAGCCTATTATTTCCCATAATTTAGTAATAATCAAAAGGCTTTACCAGATACAGATCAATTCTTTTTGACAAGACTACTTCATAGGTATATCCTCCCATCAAGAGGCACATAATACCTGGTTGCATCTTTTTTAATATATACTAGCAACCACTGATCATATATAGATCCATTAGTTCATAAGAAACTGAAATTGGTGATATTCTACCTCCATCATTCTCCATGTATCAGCTAAGAGCTCTATAAAGACAAATTTCTGCTTATTTATTATGTGGTTACCCTATAATATAGTTCATATAGAAAAGGCAGAAAAAAATGCTTGATTTCCCCCCTTTTTAATCACCAGTTTTCAAAGTACAGAGTTGATCCTCTGGCATCCTGTTTTCATTTTTTTGGCAGAACAGGAAATGTAGAAATACTGCTTATGGGTAATTCAACTTGGAAAACACTTTACATAGAGACTGAAATCTTAGAAGTGGCTCTGTTTAAAATCCTGCTGAAACTAATGAGCACTTATTTAGTACTTACTATATGGAGTCACTGTGCTAAGCACTTCCAGTGCATATTACTACTGCTTCCCTTTCACAGGTGAATGCACTAAAGCTCAGGAAGGTAAATAACTAGGGTATCTTAGTTACGTAGGACACTTAAGTGATGATTATAAGATATAAGTAGATAGTTTGGATTCAAACCCTAACTGGATGCTTACAGAGCACACACAAATATTCAGACTACGGGATTGTAGCACAGGAGTTAAGAAGGTCAGCACAGTGCAACAATCCTGCTTTTGCTATTTGAAACCATCCGACTCTTCCAGCCATCCCTCCTGCTTCTCCCTGGTAAGTGCCTTCATTCTAGCCATACAGTGTAGTCTTTTGGAAACCTTTACCTGTAACACATCTGTTCAGTCTCTCTCTGCCTATATCACTCTTTCCCACCCCTCCTCTGACTGC